GATTATGTGTGCATTCATTTGATTTCATTATTTAGCAATGCAGGCTCTTGCAGCTATTAAGAGCAGGACGGATGAGGCAGTAGAAAATGTCTCGAGACTGAGAAGAACTGGGTTCTTGTCCAGACTCTTTTGTCAAATTGCTGTGTGGCCTTGGGAAAATCCCTGCCCTCTCTGAGCCTTGGTTTTCTGAAGTGTAGTATTAGATGAGGTGATGGCTAAAGTTCCTTCTATCTATGAACCAGTCTAACATTCTAAGTAGTTTCTGAAACATTTTTTTAAGCCAAGGATTTTTTTTTCAAGATATTTTAGCAGTACTATCTCCAGTTTATGCTCTGTGCAGTGGCCTGATGGGCTGACTGCATGTATTGAAGACAGCTGTCCCCAGATTTAATTACCTTAGGGTATCACCACTTCATAGGATAAAATGAGTCATTTTGTTCACTGCATCTGCAGCCTGTGCTGAGAGAGGTTACAGGATAACAACTTACAGGCTAACTCATTAATGCAGCACTGAGGCAATGTGTTAGCAGACCACATGGGTGCCCAAATGCTTCCATCTAGAGACCTGTATCTCTGTCCCATGTTGTAAGGTATCAGTGGGGATGTCTTTATCCATCTTCCCTCTGCTCATAGGCATTTGAATAACATAGATGCAATGCCTCCTGGGCACCCAGCCCCATGCACTGCCAATTTCTCAAACTCCAAAGGTCTCTTGGTGGCCAGAAGCTAAAATCTGGTGGTGCCAAAGGGCTGAATTTATAGGGATTCAATCCATGGCATCAGTGCAGTCCTTGCTGTTTTCTCATACGTGTTTACTAGCAAGCACTGCACCATTCCTAACTATTGGATCAGAAAGGGGGGTGATTAATCCTCCAAATTGTGAAGGCTATGGATTTATGCCTAGCTGAGAACACTTCTTTCTTCCTTGCAGTGTCAAAGCCGGTGACCTCTGTAACATTAATTTGTTTCTCCATCTGTGCCATGCATTGCAGGAGAATGTGAAGAATGGGCCTGATGCCACCCAAGTGTGTTTTTCCTCTATGTATTGTTGGGGACTTGATTCTGGTGTCCCTCTGGTCTTTGTTCAAATCTTCCCTTTTGGAACCTGCTGATTTCTTAACTCCTTTCTGATCTACATAAAATTATATGTTGTTTTGTTAGTGGCAATGAAAAACTGGATGGTTTGAAAGAGAACTAGATGTGGGCAGAGTAGACACTTTACTAAACTGAATAATAAAATTGGAAAAATTGAATTATGCAATTAGTTTTTATAAATTTCATCAAGTGATTTTTGAAAAAAATATTTGACCAGGAAGAAATCGAATAATGAAGAAGAAAGATCTATTCCAAGTAGTCTCCCCGATATCTTTACTTGTGTTAAAGCAATTCAAATTTAGTAGAGATTGAACAGAGTAGGTTGTTCAATGTGCTGATAGAAACTCTAATTTTATCTAATTATTTTTGAAGCCTGATATTTCCTGAATCTCGGGCCTTCTGCAAAGAACCTTCAATATGAACATGCTTATTAAAAGCCAACACTACATACCACAGAAACATTACCCACTCAGTTCTCACAGAACCACAGAAATAGGCAGTATGTCATTTCCCCATTTCACAAGTCAGCCACTGAGGCTCAGAAAATTCAACTGATGTTCTTAAGGTCATATAGCTAAGAAATCATAAAGCCTGGCTTTGAACTCTGTTCTGTTTGGCTGTAACTCCAGTGCCTGGTACAGATACTTGTCAAAAGAAAATTGTTTTTACAAATGTCTTGAATTCTAGGCTAAAACTTACCTGCTTTGCTTTCCTATTCCTTCTTGAATATTTTTTGATCCCATGGTCACTTTGGGCTGGTACCTTGGCTTACTGAAGGGGAAAGAAAGGCGCTCTGAAGCAAGAGAGGTCTCTAGGCACCTCCTTCCCTATGGGGAGCCTACTTCTGTGTTCAGCTTGGAAATTCAGGCCTAAGGACAAGTAGAGTATTCAGACCTCTAGAGTCTGTTGTGTGCCTCTCCCCAGTGTTGAAGCCTGCCCTGTCATCCCCTTTCCAACCTCACCCACCTGCCTTTTGACTGGGTCTTTCTATCTCTGCTTCTGTCTTATGTCCTACTGGTTTCTTGAGAGGGTTGGAGGCAAACAAGACAGTGTCAATTTTGCCGGCAGAAACGCAGCTTACGATTGTTCTTAAGTTTAGCCCTGTATGTTCAACCAGGGAAGCAATGACAAACGGTTTATTCTAAGGCCTTTGATTTCCTTCGGAATTGTAAGCATCTAGGCTGACTCATCTCTCAAAGACTTTTTTTCCTCTCTCTCCTTTTTGGGGCTGGTGTTGATTTGAGGTTTTACTGTTTGTTCCCACCTTATTTTTTTGAGGAAGGGAGGGATTAATTTTCATCCTGTTTTCTGAGGGAAGAACCAGCTCTGCTCTTGGGGTGATCAGATCTGAAAAGCCTCCAGATGCAGAAATAGCTGAAACTCCAAGACAAGTATGGAATGTTAGGGTTGGGGTAAGGGGAGAGGAAGAGTGATGTTAGAAGAATGAAGTCAGATATAGGCTGTGTGTGCCAGGATGAGACCCTTAAATAATAGGTTCTAGACCTGCTGTTGTGAGTGGGGATTGATAGAGGTTTAGTCTGCTACTGTTGGAGATATATATATATATGCCTGTGGTTAAAATGGTCATCTTTTGGTTGCAGTTTGGTGGCTGGGTTTAGTTGCTCACTTTGGATCCAGAGGATGGTGCTTTGCAGTTGAAGAAGCTTTAAAAATCCATGCTAGACATTTTCTTTTAGCTTAGCCTGAAAGTCACAGAAAGACCTTCCTCCCTTATTATGCTGTATCTCAGTTATCCGGCAGGCATTTTTTGGATATCTGTGACTTGGCCATTAAGGAAAATGGACAAAATAGAATTTTGGAGATAAAATTCAAAGTGGAGGATTTTCTTGGACAAAGAATTTCTTGGACAAATCATTTAGTTTGATTATTGCATGATAAACCCTTACCTACCTTCTATCAAAACTACATTACCAAATTTTTGAGATCTAAATTCTTCTCAAATAATATACTATTATTATAAAACTCCATGGGACAGAGGAGATCAGAAAAGTAGCACGTGACTCCCTCCTTTACTATTGTCTAAAGGTTTAGATCCTCATGCCCCAAATTATCTTCTTTGTTAGGAACCAGCATACCCAAACCATAAACTTGGGAGCTATCCTAAATTCTTTCCTTTACAATTAAATTTCTCCCCTAAATCCTATCAGTTCTCCTTGGTGTCACTGACTTGGATTAACACACCCTGCCTCTTGGCTGATTTACATCCTTCAAGCTCTCTATCCAAACCAAGCTTTTCATGGCTTTCCATGAGTTTTTCTCTGTACCACTGTGGCATACAGGGCCATTTCTGACCTCACTCCTGCCCACCCAGACTTATCTCCTTCCATCCCTTTTTGCTGCCTGAAGATGACAACTTCTCTCTCATCTCTTTGCCTTTGCATAAACGGTTCTCTCCCTCTGGATGCAATCCCTTCCTTGTCTCCAGGTAGACTTAGACGTTTTCTCCTTTCTGGTCTCACAGTACTTTGTTTATATCTTCATTGACTGACTTATCACAAGGTTTTGTAAATTGTTGCTAGCCTGTGTATCTCCTTCACTGTACTGTTAAATCTTTTATAAAAGGAGTAGTATTATCTTGCTCATCCTTTGAATCTTTAGCACTTGGCACAAAGTGGGCAATTAATACAGATTTCTTTTTTTTTCTTTTAATGAACGGATGGAAAAACAAATGAGTAACAGAGGATGTTTAGTAAAGGATGCTGTGTAGGGGGCAGGGAGATCCCTATGGGGGATGATGTGGAACCTAAGAGCAGTATGAGATAGTGGAGACCACGGAGAAAGCCATATAAAACAGGTTTGCCATCATAGTAAGATAAACTTTACTCTGATCACCAATTCTCTATAGGGAGTCTCTTTGGAAATGGTGTTAAAATAATGTTTGTTTTGGTGCAAGTTGATTTTTTCTGCTTGAAAAGTAATATAATTAAGTTGCACAATCTTGGTAAACAGAAAAGACAATAGGCAAAGAAAATACTACCACTTAATACTGAGGCTGTTAGTATTTGGGTATATTTCCTTGAGTCTTCTATTTTTATGCATGTGTTTCTTCACATCATTGTAATCATAATACAATTCTGTATTCTGTATTTGTTCTTAAAAAGTTTTTTGTAACCATCACTTTAGAATTGCATAATTCTCCATACTTTGGTCATTACATAATTTATATAACTAATCTCATTGTTGGGTTAGCTTTATTCCCTTAATTTTTTGCTGTTATGACTCATGTTCATATGGTTTTTCCTGTGCATAGGAAGATTTCATTAAGATAGATTCCTAGAAGGGGCATTACTGGGGCAAAGGGCCCGGGGACGAATTTTGGCTCCAGACCCACATGTCCAGTTTGTTTTCTGGAAGAGCTGTATAATTTTACAGTGCTCCTAGATTAGATGAAATTCTTTTTTTCTTTTAACCTAACCCATACATTCAATATTATCATGAAAATTTTTTTATCAATATTCTAATTAATTAATAGAAAATACTATTTTATTCTTGTCTCAAAGTGCTTTTAAAAACTTGTAAGGTTTTTCCCCTTTTATCTTGCTTCTTTTCTTCTTTTCCTTTCTTTCTTCTTCTTTTTTGCTAATTAGATTTTGCTCCTTTCTGTACTATCTGTCCAGAGCTCATTTTTTTTAAAGTTAGATTTTTTCAAAATAAGCAACCAGAGGCAGCTCTGCTTGAGGGTGAAGGCACCTCCCAGTTTTCCCTCTCCCTCTACCCCCCCCCCCCAGTTTCCTCCAGTTGGTCCAGTGACAATTGCATGATGCAGTCTAGATAATCATCCATCCGAGAATGGGGTGGCTACATTCCTTTTCTGAAGGCAGCAAGGAAAATGTACCCCAGAATCATGGCCCCTTTGCTTTTGTTGTCTGCCTTCATTTTTTTAGTGAGCATCCTGGGAGGAGCCCCAGGACACGGTCCAGACCCCCAGATGAAGGTGGTATCAATACACAGCCTCTCCGAGCTAGAGCGTCTGAAGCTGCAGGAGACTGCTTACCAAGAACTCAGGGCCAAGCACTTCCTCTCTGGATTCAAACCTAACCGAGGTGAGCTGTATCCCCGGAGTGTGGCGTCCTCGCCTTCGGGCGAGTGGACCCCCGGGGGCGGGGCGGGACGGATTTGGGCTGCAGGAGAGTGGGAGGGGCTTGCACTTTATCTAGGACCAGGTCCACTGTTCAGGAGTCTGGGGAACCGAGAAAGTGGGAGTTGAAGGCTTTTCCTTGAATTGCAGAAGAGGTAAAGAATAGTTGAGTTGGGTGGGTTGGGGGGCCAGGGGCAGTAAGATAGGCAGATGTCAGTGACAGACAAGTGGACAGAGGGACAGAGGACAGGTGAAGAGACCAACTCATCTGGTGCAGTACAAGAATTGGGCACAGTGAGACAGGGGCGCAGAGGGACACTCTTGAGAGAGGACCGGGACGGGCAGAGCCAACGGGGTTGGAAGAGACCGAGCGACAGTCCCGGAGAGAGACCAGTGCCCAGCCAGGCGGAGAGCAGGAGGGCTGGGGGGGGGGGGGGGGGGAGGGTGGGGGGGTGTCGGCGGAAGGTGCGCTGCTGTGAGCGGTGCCCACCTCAGTAGTCTGCGAGGGAGCCCGCGGGACGCCGCACAGGACCGGGTTCCAGCGCACCTGGAGACCTACGGGGTACGGGGCAGATCCGACCGCCGAGTCTGGGAGGTGGGAGAGGGTCGCGCTTGCCGAGGGGCGTCCCGGCAGCGTAGGAAAGTGCAGGGGGCGGGGTTTCGCTAGGTGCGTACCACCGGCACGGCCTGAACTCAGTGAAACTAAGGGTGAGGAGACCCCTCGGGCAGCCGCCGCTGCGGGATTGGGATTGGGAGCGTGGGGACTGCCAGGTGTCGCCGCTCCTCGCGTCGCAGCGCGGGGAGCCGACGGCAATCGGGTGCGAGCGCGCCCGCAATAACTTGGCGACCCTCACTCGTGGTGACGCCGAGGGCAGAGCCCCTCCTCTTGCCTGTTGCATTATCCGGGCACCTCAGAGCCCCTGAATATCTGCTTTAAGTGTTGCGTTGAGAGACTACTGGTGCGTAGCAAGATGTGCGGTGCGCTCCTTGAGGCTTAGCAGGTCTGGGTTGGTTAAATTCTTGGAGTCTTCTAGGTATTAGATAGGACCTATCCTGTCGTCAGGTGGGGAAACTGAAGCCGAGAGAAAGAAAAGCACTTTCCGCGGGCTGGACGGAGCTGCCCCTCTTCCAGCGCCTTCCTCTTCTGAGGATCGGGGCGTTGCGCTGTTTTAGTCACTTATCAAGTCCTATTTGTGTGTGAATGTGCGTACCTTTTCTCTTTCTCTTTCCTTAGCTGTCACTACTGACCGTCCAAACACCTTGGAGAACAGTTTTCTGGTCTTAAGAGGACAAGATGGTGGTGAGGGTCTCTTGTATTTTCTTTGGGAAAGAAATGAGTGCTCCACCCTTCCCCCACAGTAATATGCCCCGCAACTACTGGAGACTGGGCGGTGCCCACTGCCCCCGAAGACACTCCCCCTCCCTCCCAGAAACCCCTCAGAGGGGGTGCTCTCGGGAAATGGCGCAGTAGCAATGGGGCGGTCTCAGACCTGCCTGAGCTTTCCCAGTGGACGCACCCTGGACAGAACACCCTGAAGCATCTGGGTGGTGACACCCGGCAGGACTTAAGGCAGGGACCTTGAGGTCCGTCGGGTATTTGAATGAAGCTGAGCCCTTTCTTCTAACCTCTAGAGGGTCTTTTTGGCTTGCTCCCCAGGGAGGGGCGCTGCTGGTCTGGGTGGGGTGCGTTGGGTGGGGGGGTGGCCCTGGGTGGTTGCTTGGAGAGAAGTGCTCCCCCCACCACTTAAGCATTGCAGCGCTTTGACGTTTCTCATTCTCTCTCCCTGGCTCTCCAGCCCTGTCATCGCTCCAGACGTTTGGTGTTCGCCTGGAAGAAGTGCTGGTGAATGAGTTTACCCGCCGCAAGCATCTTGAACTGACAGCCGCGATGCAAGTTGAAGAAGCCAACAGAGAGGCTATCGGCGGCGGTCCTCGTCGTCGTCGAAACATAATGCAGAGGATGCTTGGTCGCGTCAGGCTCTTTTTCAATCGCCCTAGGAATGAGCCTGCTTTGCCCCGGGAGTTCACGCGCCGTGGGCGTCGAGTGAGTTAAACCTTCCAGGTTTCAGACGTGGGGCTGAGGGGTCCAGTGGTGTTGGGCAGAAGCCCAAGGGTTGGGTCCTCAGGGGAGGGGGCTGAGCAGAATTTGTTGGAAGGCTGTGTTTGGCTTGCCACAGAGACAGTCTCTCTGGGTCTGAATGGCACACAGTGCTCAGGAAGGTCACCCCCCCCCCAAAGATGCTCTGATTTCTCCACAGGGTGCCATGTCTGTGGATAGCTTGGCTGAGCTGGAGGACGGGTCCTTGCTGCTGGAGGCCCTGCAACTTTCAAGGGCTTCATTTCCTATGGGAGAGAGGCTTTGGGGATCGAAAACCGAGATGAGCCTCAATCCCATTGCAAAACAAATCCCCCAGGTGGTTGAAACTTGCTGCAGGTTCATTGAAGAGCATGGTAAGGGGGACCACAAATGGTTAACTAAAGGGAGAGGGGAGGGAATGAAAGAGAAGGGAGGGGTGTTCTAGAAATGGGGAGAGAAAAAAGTCATGAGGGGAAGGGCTTGGATAACATTACTCTGACACCAGAGGAGGCTGCGGTGCAGTTCCTAAGGGAAGCAAAAGGAAATTTCACACGGAAGAGAGCCAAAGATGTTAAAGATCTGGATTTTTCTTTCAGGTCTAAGCGCAGTGGGAATTTTCACCATGGAACGCTCTGCAGAGAAAGTGCGTCAGGTAAACCTACTATGTTTACATGTTTGTTCCTTGAGTAAGAAAAAGCAGATGGAAGTGGGGCTCGCCCACAGACCTGAGAGCTGTGTCATGACAGGTGAGGGGGACAAGGTCTTCCGTCTAGCACCCCCCACCACCACATTACCAGCTACCTCCAACGAAGCCTGGGATTTTCTGAAGGAATGACCAAGAGGGATAACCTATGGTAAGCAGGGCAGATGGTCCATATTTTCTCTCCCTTGTTCTAGCTCCGTGAAGAATTTGATCAAGGTCTGGATGTAGTGCTGGATGAAAATCAGAATGTGTATGATGTGGCTGTAGTCCTCAAGGAGTTTTTCCGTGACATGCAAGACTCTCTGTTGCCGGATGATCTGCGCAAGTCTTTCCTCCTGACGGCAAGTGAGTCCTGTGCCCTCCCTTGTTGTCGCATGGATGGGAAATGTTGTGGGGATCTAGGGGGGGCTAATGACAAAGTTCAAGCTGCAAGACCCTCAAGGAACTGAAGCAGAATGAACACCAGAAAATGAAAAACACCTCTCCAGAATAAATAAAAATATGATTTGTCAATTAAAAATAAGAAGTTAAAAAAAAACCCTCCAAGTTACTTTCTGCATGTCTTAAAAGTCCCTTATGAATTTGTTGCTTGGTAATTTCTCTAGAGTTTCTTGAAGGTGTGTGTGCCCTCTCAGGGCAAAGATGAATCCAGGTTGTATAGAAATCTGACTTTGATGGGGAGTGGGGAAGGGCACTTCTTGCTTTTAGGGCTCCTGAATTCAAATGCTTTAGAAATAAGCAAAAGCAAGTTGCAGGGTACTCCACAGCCACCAGCAATTCTGAAGCAGAAACTCATCTCCCTTGGTATCGGGCTGCTGCCGAGGCTAGCCCCTGACCCAACCTGTTTTTCTTCCTGTAGCCCTGAAGCCCCAGGATCAGCTTGCTGCCCTGCAGTTGCTGGTCTACCTGTTGCCACCCTGCCACAGTGACAGCCTGGAGCGCCTGCTGAAGGTCCTGCATAAAATCACTGAGTACTCCGAGGACTCCATTGACCTTGATGGACAAGTGGTAAAAATACCTGGGAAAGGGTATCAAGGACTGCAGGAGGGGATGTGTGTGAAGGTGTATGAGTGGGTAGGATGGCAAAGAGAGGGAAGAATGAGAAGCATAAAAGGAGACATATCTGTTTACACAACTTCCAGTCCTTGCTCAGTTAGCTTTCTGCTTTCTTTTACCTAGGTTCCAGGTAACCGCATGACTTCCACCAACTTGGCCCTGGTGTTTGGATCTGTTCTCCTGAAGGAGGAAAAGCCTGTCAAGAGAGAGTCCAGGAAAACACAACTGAGGACTGACCACTACGTTGCTTCTGTCAATGTGGTCCATGCCATGATTGATAACTGGGATGTTCTCTTCCAGGTAGGGGAGGTTTTGGATACACATTTCACACATTTCTCATCTGTTCACAAGACAAGGAAAAGTTGTATGTGGACAACCAAAGCAGGCAGTCACAAAATTCCCCCATCTAGAAATTCTTCCCATATATGGTGTTCAACATCCCTTCAGGCCTGAGCACTTGATGGAGAAAAGAATACATGGAAAGGTGGTATGCAATAAAGGCTAACATTGCTAATTTAACCCTCAGGTGCCTCCCCATATTCAGAGGCAGGTTGCTAAGCGTGTGTGGAACTCCAGCCCTGAGGCCCTTGATTTTATCAGACGCAGGAATCTGAGGAAAATCCAGTGAGTTTTTTTGTTTGTTTATGCTTGGCCTGAAGCTCATTCACGAATAGGAGCTTACAAATCAAGACTGTCTTTAAATTAACCAATCCAAGTACAAACTAACTTACTTTTTTCAAATTCCTTCCCATTCAGGAGTGCTCGCATCAAGATGGAAGAGGACGCTCTGGTTTCTGACCCAGTGGATTCCCCTGCTGAGGCCCGTGCTGCTGTCCTTGGTCAAAGCAGACCCTTTGATGAAGGTCATTTCCATACTGGAGGTCATGCCCTTGATACTGATCAGTCCTTTTCTGAAGGTCAGGCCCTTCCTTTGGGTCAGGTCCTTGCTGAATATAGGCCCCGTGAGGATGATGAGTCTTCTGAGAAAGGTGTGTCAGTCAATGAAGAGCTAGTATTTAAATATTTCTATAAAGTAGTAGGTTTTTTTTTGTGGGGGGTTCAAGGTCCTGAGATCCCAAATGACCTTAAGATTCAAGGCCCACATCTAGGGGGTATACCAGAGATTGATGAAAGTGAAGGTGATGATGATACCCTAAATTTTGATCATCTTCCTCCACTTGAGGATATTCTAGAATTTGATGTTGAACTTTCAAAACTCATTGAAGTCTAAGATTTTGAATACCTTATTTTGATATGGTCCCAGACCCCAAAGGAGTTCCAGATGTGCAAGAAACCTTGGATGCTGGTGAAAACCTGAACTATGACTTTGAGGAAGGACCCAATTATGAAGACCAACAAAATGTTAACCTCGCAGAAGTTCCTTATCTCGATGTAATCCCAAACAATGAAGACAGCTCAGATACAGAGGAAATCTCAGGTAAGGAAGAAGCCCTAGACACTGGTGAAATCCCACACAATGCAGATGTCTCAGATAATGATGAAGAAGACTGCAGTCTCGATGAGATCCCAGCTGTTGATGAAGCCACAGGTGAGGAAGCTTCAAATGCTGAAGAGATCTCAGGCCATGAAGATTCTTTGGAGGTCAGTAGCATTTCAGACTCTGAAGAAGACTTTGATTTTAAAGATGTCCCAGCTTTTCATGTGGTCCCAAGTCCTGAAGAAGCCCCTGCAGCATATGAAATCCTCAATCAGGAAGAATCCCCACAGGTTAGTGAAGTTTCTGACTCTGAAAAAGATCCCAATCTTGACAGCATCCCAAATAGTGAAGAAACTTCAGATTCTGAAGACATTCCCAATCATGAAGATGCTCTGGAAGTCAATAGATTTGCTGGCTCTGAGGAAGACCCCCAAGCCCAAAGAGGTCCTTACACTTCATGTGGACACAAGCCCTGAATATGTCTCCAATTTTGATGAAATTGAAGACCAGGAAGAATCCTCAGAGGTGAGTGAAGCCTCGGGTGATGAAGAAATTCCATTGCATGAAGAAACCTCTGATGTTGGTGAAAACCACGGTTCTGAGGAAAGCCCTGCCCTAGAAGACTCAGCTCTCAATGTGCTCCCAGAGCCTGAGGACGCCTGAATTCAAATTCCAGATGCCCAGGAAGACCAACTCTATGCTTTTGAAAATGATGAAGTGAGCACTGTGACTCCAGACACTGAAGATGTCTCCATTCTCAATACAGTTCCAGACTCTCCACAAGACCTAGCTGTCAATCTTGAAGTTATAAATGTGGAAGACGTCCCAATGCCTAAAGATGTAGACCCTAAAGAAGTTCAAAATCCAAAGGCAACTCAGTTCCTTAAAGAAGATGCAGATGTGGCATCACCTGTGGATACCACTCTCCTTAAAAACAAATCTCAATCTGGCCAAGTCATGAGCTACAGGTTTTCCCTAGACTCACTGATAAGTAATCCCTGTTTTTTCCCCTGGACTCAGTATTGTAAGCTTCCCGCTCTAGCTTTGTTACTCATTTGCTTGGTAAAATTAGTCAGGCTTCTTTGGTGGCATTGCCCACTTACTCTAAGCTTGGGGCCCATACCCCCCCAACCTAGCCCTTACCCTAGCTTCCACAGTGGTCCTAGATTTAGAGATCTGTGCGAAGATCTTTTCTTACATGTTAAATGGGGAGAATCATTCCTGCCCTACCTTCTTGCCTTGTATTTTATTTGAAAGTCAAAACTGGGTCTTATTGCTTGCATGCTATGTAAAGAATAAAGTCTAAAAACATAGGAGTTAACATTGTGACTATTTTCCAGGTTCCTTTGAGGATCCAGTTGTGCTCCCTGGCGCTGTCCAATCCTATGACGACGAGGAAGGATCGGGTAACCTCCCCATTCCGGAGCAGAAAAGCCCAATCTTCCGTGTACCCCGGAAAAAGAAGGCCAAAACTGGCATCCGCTACTTCTTTCCCTAGATATTTTTCCTTCTGTAAGGCACAGGACAGGGGACAAGGATGGGGGTAGACTTGGAATGTCACAGGAAACTTTAAAGAGAAACTTAAAGATAGTCACACATCTGAGGGTAAGAAGGAGCTCCCCTTGATGCTCGGATCAGGATGGGAGTTCCAAATACACTGCCCCCCTTCAGTGGGGATGCTAGGTCTCTTCAGCAGGTAAAAACATAGTTGTTTCTGTGTTATGTCTGGGGCACTCCGGTGCTACCTTGCAATCGCTTTTACCCCTCGATCCTGGCTTTCTTTCACTACAACCTTTTCAATAATTGATATTACATTTGTAGTGAACATCTTTCCCAGAGGAGCTCACAAATCTCGGGGTTCTTTCCCTCCCTGAAGGAAGATTCCATGCTTTTTGCGACTTTCCTACCCTCCTCCTGAGAGTTTAATTGGAAAGGCCCTCAAGAGGCATGCTAGAACGTTAGGTCAGCTTACAGACAGCTGACAAACAATTAATGCTAACCCATGTCACACCAACTCATACTCATGTCCCCGCCTCAGGATTTTTTCCAAATTATTTAGACCAATAGCTTGTCAAAGAGCCACTCCCCAAATTCTGTGCAGATTTGCTCAGATCATGCCAACAGGGAAACCTCAAGTATAAGTCCAACAAGCTTTTCCAGGGTTAATCAAAAGTTAGAGGAAAAATTAGATTTTAGTACCCAAATTTGTTTTAAAGATGGCTGATGTCTGCAAAATGGCTAGTTAGGTAAGGACTCAATAGTTTCAAGTAGCTAAAATCACCTGATTACAAATATTCTTATCTGTCATCTCTGTAGTTCTTCTATGCAGGACAGTACAAATTTTGGGGACATGGTCTGGTAACACACAGATATGGGTTAAGTATGACATCCAAATTACAGCTGATATTTATGGGTAACACTTGCTAAGATCCATAGAATGAAGAATGTGTTGTACTGAGGGATAGAAATTGATCATATGATGGGTAACAACCGCAAAACTCGAAGATTTGTGATTCTTAAAACTTCTCTGTCATTTAATCATTAAATCATTAATAAACATCTGTATTGTGACAGCAGCATATTCATGGGTTACTGTGTATTTTTTTTCCTTTTCAAATTTTTGGGGTGAGTTGGGAATCTGACAGGAGAGCTGAGGGGGAAAGGACACAGGGAAGAGGAATAAAGGGAGGAGGGTAATACAGAACAAAGAGGAGGTGAAGTCATGAGCTAAAGGGAAGGGCAAAGTGACATGGGATAAATGGGAGGGTTGTTGTGGAATAAAGGGGAAGAGGTGACAGGGAGTAAAGGGGAAGGGTGATGTGGAATAGAGGGGATGGTGTGCAATAAGAAAGGGGCGGAGTGGGATAAGGGGGAGGGGTAATGTGGAATAAAGAAGGGGAGACATGGGATTAAGGGGAGGGGCAGTGTGGAACAAGGAGGAGAGAGTGACAGGGTGAAAGGGGGAGGGTGATGTGGAATAAAGAGGATGGATGGGGTAATATGGGAAAAATGGGAGAGGTCATGTGGAATACAGAAGAAGGGATGACATGGAATAAAGGGAAGGGGTAATGTGACACAGGATAAAGTGAAGGGGAGACATGGAATGAAGTAGAGGGGATTACCCAGGATAAAGGGAAGGAATGATGTGGAATAAAGAGGAGATGACGCAGAATTCCAGAAGAGGTGGTGTGATACGGGGTAAAGCAAGGGGGTGATGTGGAATATGGGGGATGGGGTGATGTAGAAGGGGACTGGAGGATGGGAAATTAAGGGGAAGAAATAACATGGGATAAAGGGGAGAGGTGAAATGGGAAATGGGGAAGGAATGAACTGGCATAAAAGGGAGTAAATGGAATAAAGGATGAAGGGCTATAATTAAATGAATAGAATGGAAGGGCTAAAGTGAACAAATGGCTAAGGAGGGGTTAAGGAAAGTAGGAGAAAGGAATGAAGCTTAATAGGAGGTCTTATAAGTGGGAAGGGAGAGAAATAACTGGGGAAACTGCAAGATATTCTCAACTGAGAAATTTCCCCCGAATCTGTGAAAAATGAAAACCTAGAAACATCTAGAACATTGGTAAACAAGAGTAAGGCAAATAATGTGCTACTATCTGACTAATGGACCTCCAACTTTTCTTGAAAAGTTATGGTATCATGACACACTTGGAACTTTCCCATATTAAGGACAGGGCCCCAAAAGTGGAATGGTGTGTGTTATTTATTTCTACAGAGCTGGCTATAGGAGATTTCCCTGCTTAGAGCTTTACAGACAGCAGACATGTACCACTGGGCTCCTCCTATAATAATAATTTTATAATAATTCAATGATAGCTAACACATATTGAGTTATTCTGAAGTATCTGGCACCATGTTAAAAGCTTTACATGCATCATTTAATTTAGTATTCACAATAACCTAATGAGATAGATGTTACTGTCATCTTCATTTCATTCTTGAGGTAAATGAGATACAGAGAGGTTAAATAACATGCCCAATACACAGCTGCTTAGTGGGAAAATAGCCAGTCTTCAAAGCTGGACTGTATAAATATTAGATTTTACTGGCCCATAGACCTTGAGATTCTGCCTCTGACACAAAAATGTGTTGTGATGTCCTTGGTCATTTGCTTTTGATTGGGTTGTGCACTTTCTTTCTTTTCTTTTTTTTTTTTTGAGACAAGGTCTATCTATGTAGCTCAGGCTGGCCTCGAACCTGAGCTGATCCTCCTGCCTCAGCCTCTGGAGTGCTAGGATTACAGGTGTGTGCCACCACACCCAGCTTGCACTTTCAACAAGTAAGTTTCAGGTTTCTTTCCTTGCTATCCAGATAGACAAGCCATTAAACAAAAATTGACATCCCAGGTAGGACCCAGCTGACGTAACTGGGATCTACAAATTGTAAAGCCAGAGGAAGATGCAGAGTGCATCCATTCCAACTTTCTTGTTATATGAGTAGTCTTACCAGGGCTTGGACTGATAAAAAGAACTTGCCCAAGGCCAGAGAGCAGTGGTGAGATTCAGACAGATCTTTCAGGACTTTGTGGGGTGAAACATGACCCACAAGGAGTTTAGCTGCACTTTTCCCAACCAGGTAACAAATAGGAAAGCACTCTGTTTCAAACACACATTCCTTTCGTTTTCTGGCCTTCCCTGGAACTGAGTTTTCTCCTGATCTTACTACATTCATTCCCAGTTGCTGACTATTAACCAGAAACTGGGCCTGAGAGTCTGCATAGATGTGGGCATTATTTTTACTCTTTCCCATGCTCTAAGAACTTGACACTCTAAGTTAGGTCCTCTTTTGGATGACTTCAACAACACCCACACGGGAGATGCACGCCATAAACCATGGCCTCATGCCTCTCTGTGTGCTTGCTTCTTAGCACTTCAACCACTCCCGCCATTTGGCAACATTGGGCATGGCCTCACCTCGAAATGACTCAACTCTGACATCTCACTGAGCCCCAAACCTCCAGCAATGGCTGGACTTGACATCATCTACTCTCTGGCCTCACTGAAAGGTTCAAGGCCCCAAACCCTTCTTTATCTAATCACTTCTATCCTTATCCTGCCAGAATCTTATGACATATGGAGTATCAACTGTATGTCCATCCCTGTGTCCTCCAAATACCACACTTGCACTATTTAGCCTCAGTTTTATGTCCCACCAAATATTTGAATTCTCAATCCCATACTGACCACTGCGGGGGAAAGGAACTGAATCCCCCATAGCAGTGTTCCTAATAGTCAGAATTTCCAACTTCAGCTGAGTCCTCAGGCCACTCAGCTATCTTTCAAATGCCCTGAGCCATCTCTTTCTCCTTTTCTTTTCCTTTCTGTTTTACAAGTTCCTTCACCACTCTCCTTAAATAAGAGCCCCCTTTCAGTCTTGCCCCATGCAACAGCATAGACCCTTGCTTCCTAAAGACAATTTGGACCAATTTAAACTCCTTGACCTATACCTACAATAGTTTTTCAGCTTCATTAGCTCTCACTTCATATTGTGTAGCCTTCCGTCAGTTTTAGATGTCCATATTCTTGTTCTACTATTGCTGTCTCTTCCTTCCGCTAGCCTTTCCTCTTGACATGACCCCCAAAACATCTTGGTTACAATCTTAGCAGTTCTCCTGTGTGAATCCTTCCTTATCTCATGTTATTCATGTGCTTGAGCATGTCCCATCTTTAGAAACTTCTTTGATCCTTCATTACATTGTACAAATGGTTCTATCTCTTTAAGCTTGGTAAAAGATGAGAGTATTCTGAATTTTTTCTTTTATACCATTCATTCTTCAAACCCTATGAATCAGGCTTCTCCCCACAAATGCAATAAAATAATGTGGCAGAGGTGATCATCAATAACCTATTAATATATTCAATAAACTTCAGCAGTGCTATTTACTCGCTTTGGTCTCAGTGACATCATCTCCTGACGTTTGATGAGTTTTTACAGTTAAACTTTAAAAAAAATGTTAAGATGGTTGTAGATTCCTATGCAGTTTTAAGAAGCAATACATAGAAGGCCAGTACACCCTTAACCCAGTGTCCTCAATGGTAACATCTTACTGAACTGTAGTGTAGTATTACTAGGACAATGAAATTGATACAGTCCACACACAAGAAAGATTCCTCACCATGAGAATCCTTCCTGTTTCCCTTTTATAGCAAAATAGACAAACTTGCCTCTCATTCCCACTGCCTTCTCTTCCTAATCTTGATAACTAATTTATTTTTTACTTCTATATTTCTGTCATTTCAAGAATGATATGTTGGGTTGAAGATGTAGCTCAATGGTGCTACACTTGCCTGGCAAGTGCAAGGTCCCGAGTTCAATCCCTGGTACCAAAAAAAAAAAAAAAAAGAATGATATGTAAATGGAATCATACATATGTTACCTTTTGGGTTTGACTTTTTTTTCACTTAACATGATACCCTTGAGATTTACTCAGGTTGTTGTGTGGTAAAATACTTCATCTCTTTTTATCACAAAGTAGTATTTCATGGTATAGATCTTATAGATGTACCACAGCTTGTTGAACCATTTACCTGTTGAAAGACATTTTGGTTGTTAAAGGTTTGGGACGTTACAGATAAGGATTCTATAAGCAATTTGTGTATAAAATTTTGAGTGGACATATGTTATCATTTCCCTAAAATAAATATCCAGCCTTGAGTTTGTAGGTCTTGATAATCGCATGTTTTTTTAATAAGGAATTGGCAAACTTTTTCAGAATGGACTTAAGACTTTACATTCCCACTAGCAGTGTATGAGTGACCAAGTTGGTCTTCATGCTTTTCAACATCAAGAGTTATTAATAAATTTTATATTATCCATTTTGATAGTTGTGTAGCTATGAATTATTATAGTTTTGACTTGTATTTCCCAGATTCTTAATGAGATTGAACACCTTTTATGTGTTTATTTGCCATCTACATACTTTTCTATGAAATATCCATTCATAAGAACATTTGCTCCAGCATCATTGTTGGAAGACTATCCTTTCTCCACTCAGTTACTTTAGTCGGAATCAGTTGATATTTGTGTGGAATCTTTACTGTGTTTCATTGATCTGTTTATCTATTGATCTGACAATTATATGCTGTATTGACTACTGTAGTTTTACCGTAAGATCTTTTTGTAAATTTTAATTTTTATTGGCACATGTTTGCAGTACGTAATGATGACATTCATCACGGGGGTTGGTATATGTACGTAACACACCTTAATTATTTTTTCGGCCCTTTCCCCTCTCATTCTCCCTCCCTCCCTCTATCTCTTGATCCCCTTTCCTTTTCAAAAGATTTATCTCCCTATTTCATCTTATCTTTTATTTGATCTTTTATTTATATTTTGGGTTTCTCATATAAAAGAAACCATGTGATATTTAAGCTTGTATGTCTGATTAACTTAACATTATGGTCTCCAGGTGCATCCCTTTTACTACAAATGACTCAAGTTTATCCTTCTTTATGGAAAACTAGTACTCCATTGTGTAAAAATACCACATTTTCTTTATCCATTCATCTGTTGATGCACATATAGGTTCCTTCCAACATTTAGTTATTATGAGTTATGCTACCATAA